GGGGGGGTAGGTGTGTTTGTTCCTTCTGAAGTCCACGACCATCTCCTTCATCTTCTTCACATTGATGTGAAGGTTATTCTCTCTGCACCAGCTCTCCAGGTGTTCCACCTCCTGCCTGTAGCTGGACTCATCATTGTTTGTGATGCATCCCACCACCGCTGTATCATCTGCAAACTTTACAATGTGACAGTCTGGATGGGTAGCTGCACAATCATACGTGAGCAGAGTGAACAGGAGGGGGCTCAACACACAGCCCTGAGGGGAGCCAGTGCTGAGGGTTATGGTGGAGGAGGAGAGGTTGTGGATCTTCACTGACTGAGGTCTGTTTGTTAAGAAGTCCAGGATCCAGTTGCAAATGGAGGGGCTTAGTCCTAGTGTGAGTAGTTTGTCCATCAGGTTTGGAGGATCATGGTGTTGAAGGCAGACGTGAAGTCCACAAAGAGCACATGGGCGTGTACATATATTATATATGAAAATATGCAGAGTTTAAGTAAAATGATTGTAGTAAATTAAGAAGTATTTGTCTTGTCCTTGAAACAACAATACAAAGCTTGTGACCCAGGATCTCCAGTTGTTCTGATATAAGCTGTAAACTTTCTAATAAACGTGTGAAGTGTGTTCGTCTCCTGACTCGTGGTTTATGCTCCGGTTGGTTCCTCATTCTAAGGCAGTATTGTGCAACGTTACCATTTACATATGAAGCGTGAACCAACAACAAGCTGCTTCTGTTTGTGCAACACATTCAAAACTGCTTCAGCTCATTTCAGCTGCTTCAGCAGCCACAAACCTGCTGGATGTGCAGCTGTGTGCTACATTAGCCTCTACTTGATGCTAAAACTGAATGGGGGTTTGGTGTTTTTCTGGGTCCGAGGACTCGGGTGGAGGCCAGAACATTTTATCTGTGAGCCCCAGGCGGGCAGGTTGGACCCTGCGTGGCCTCTGGTATCAGGAGGGCAGAGGGTGAACACCCCAGCTGTCAATCAACATTTGAACCTTTGCTTTTCTTACACAACATGTTTCACAACTGTATTACTGATGACTTGTCATGTTCATGTCTCACTGGGTCACAAAAGAAGTTCAACTGGTCTTCTTCTCTATTGGCTTTATTTCATGACGGCACCAGTCAACAATAAAATGAATTCATTTTCATCCATGCCTCTCAACACGTGGTACCAGAACCAGCGGTGGGACTCAGAAGAAAGATCGGCATCAAAGGTTTCCAAGTTAAATACACTCAACATCATAAGATGACGTATGACGTCAAGAGGTCAAAGTTCAAGAAATTCACTTATTTCCAAATAAAAACTATTTGAAATGAAACTGAATGAAATCATCAAGTTTCATTCCAGAGTATCATATTCATGTCCTCTTATTGAAAAATAATAAAATTGATTGTTTCAAATGACATTATGTGATAATGTACAGAGCATGTGTAGTGAATGACTCTCAGCTACTACCATTACATTTTCAGATCAATGTCTGTGAAGGTGACGGGCTGAGAGACGGTTTTCAGTTCAGTTTATTTCTAAAGCTCCAAGTCACAACAGAAGTCGTCTCAGGGGCTGAACAGAAACATTCAAATATAAAATAATAGTTAAGGATGGACCAGCACAGAAGATCAACATCATCAGGCCAGGACTCTGAGGTCTACACTCATCTCCAGGCCAGAGGTCACTCTTTCAGGGATGAAGATGTTCACATCCTGGACAGAGAGGAACGATGGTTTGAGAGAGGAGTAAAGGAGGCCATCTTTGTGAAAAGAAACCGTCCATCATTAAACAGGGGTGGAGCCTCCAGGTTCAATTGTCCCCCTCTTACAATGCTGTGATTGCTAGTATCACTCAGCCCTCTGTGAACAGTAAACAGCCATCAGGTGCTAATGATCCATTGTTAGGCTGATGGTCCTTCTTGAGCATGTGATCAGCTGGTTCTGGTTGTCAGCAGCAAACTGGTTGATCCACTCTGAGAAGGTGCTATTTAAGAGACTGAGCTGAATACAGCACCTCAGACTGAGGAAGTCCTCTGGATGAGAGACGAAACGTTTTTACATTTTTTTGGTTTTTTGTTTTTAATGTCCAGAGGACCAGATTTAAATATTTTAGATGGTTCTAGTAACATTTTTAATATTTTCTGTTGGCTAATGTTTATTATCTGCAGCAGCCATTTTTAATTAGACCGACGTCAGGTGGAGCTGAACATCTAAGGATTGCTTTAAGATTTTTATTCAAATCTGTCCATCTGTTTGTGCGATATTTTGCTAACAGACAACAAAGTCAGACAACTTCACTATTCTTTGAATCTGATGGTGCCAAGATATAAAAAATAAAACAAAATGAACGGCAGAGGCTGGGCAGAAACTTTCCATTCCCAAATTTATTGTAACTGAAACAACTCTTTTCTTTCAATAAATAAATTTGTTTTGTGCGTAAAGTTTTACAGTTTGTCTGCATTGATGTGTTTCTTGAACAGACATTTGAAGGGTCTTACAGATGCACTGATTCTGAATGAACGCTCCTACAAGCACTCTGCAGATGTTGGATGCTGCAGATGTTGGATGCTGCAGATGTTGGAT